TGGCTTGTCCATCGCAACCAGCCTCCCTGTCTCCCAACTCTTCATCTGAGCAGGGGCTGTACTATTATTCCATGTTTCTTCAGCTTCCTAACACATGGATTAACTTTCTCACCTATCCATCTTCCACTCTTCACCTACATTTCTGGTCCCTTTCCTCAAGTTATGTTACAGACCAACCTAAGATGTCATGTGGACCGTGCCGAGGGGTGGATGGCCTCAGGAAGACTTATGAGTGTCTGAAACAGTACCCTGCAGGTGCGGGATACCAGACGACCTCACTGCAGAGCTTATGGTTTCCTAGACGCGTAATAGATGCACTGTGCTTTTCATCCAGGTCTCAAAACGCAGACACCGTTAGTGGTTTCCTAGACTGCGTACAATACACACGTTTGGTGCGTAACATAAGTTCACAGGAGAGATTACTTGCGGTTGCTATAATTTTATACCATGATTTAGATAATCACATGGGTATTTTGGTAATACAAGCTTCGAAAAAGCTTAAGCAGTGCAGTGTACATGATTAAGAACCTGTATGTGGCCCTCACGGATGTTTAACTATACCTAGTATTAATGCAAACACATTTATTTAAAAAGTAATAAATCTTAATTATATCTCTCTAACTTTGCTTTTACTGTCAACTGTTATTAAATTTACCTACTAGGGATTTACCCAGTCGATGAAAATAGTCATATTCATATTCAAACATCTTTATTATAAACTATGCCAGCTTTAAAATTTTGTCCTGTTAACTTTTTTATTCCATCAAAGTTGGTTTTTCTCCCATGAGGTTAATATGAAGGAATCTATGTATTTAATTGGAAACATTGTCTCCAATAATTTGAGAAAACTGCTGGGCTTAGAAGCTTGGTAGGGTTACCCAAAGAAAGGTCTCGGTCTGTAGATGAGCCATCAAAAGAAAAAGTAAATTAATTCCCTCTTGTTTACATTATGGCCATATGTAATTTTTCACTACATTTTAATGAAACAGCTGTTAATATTTAAATTGATTTTTAAACATCACACATTAATAGGGAGTTACTGTATTAGTCAAAAAGAAGTATAGTATTTGCAATGTTATTTTCTGATTTTAAAATTTATTTTCTTCTGCATCATGTCATGTTTTGCAATAAAACGTACCATTACGAAATCAGTGGAAAATCTTTATATCACACTAACTCTTAAAATTATTTCTTTTTGAAATTTATCATATATCCATATCTATTGTGCGGGTTTGGTATCTGCCTTTTTGACAAATTTTGCTTATAATATATCATATTATTCAAGACAGATCATCATAAGTTCATGAGATTATTGTCATACATGTTTTCAATCATTGGAAACATATTCGGTTGTGTAATACAATACAAAATAATACAAGTGCAGAAGAGCACATTGCCCATATGAGCTGAGTCCATATTTTGTTAAATCAATAGTGGTTTACAGCACCTGAATAAAACTTTTAATAATGATTAAGTAGAAATAATATGTACATGATTTAGAAAGTCTTTAAGCTAGAATACGTACTGTGTATTTCCATGTCCCGTTAAAAGAGGTAGCCTACAAATGTAACCCATTTTGTTGCACAATCGCGATTTCAGGTACACAAAAATTTGGGTTGGTTTAGTTTGAACGTTTGAAGAAGCAAAACCGCCAAAATACACACAAAATAGGGGTAATAGGGGTTGTGTAATCTAAATGTTAATACAAATTTCATTTATTTATTCCTCTAACATAGTTAACATACATTTCTATTATTTGATATTGGTTTCCTATAAGTAGGTATGATTGAGACGCCTACTTTAGTTAAGGGGTAGTTTAAGATAGACAGAGATTTTGTGTTTTAAGTTTAACTCATTTTTCAGTAGCCTGGTAAAAGTCTCAGAAGTTTAATCACGAAAGGCCACTATACTATACATCAAGGGTTATCTACAGGGGCAACCTTGTTAAGTAAATTAGAAACTCCTCCCCTCACCCAAAACAGCGTAATTTTAATTGTGGGCAGAACTCCTAAACAAAATTCACTAACTTTTCCAGATTTCCTGATAGAAAACCTGGTTTTCCCAGTCGTGATTACTAGTCACCGAGTGTATCTTATACTAGTGGTCTGCGAGTACACCATATTTTTGGATCTGGTCGGCCCTCGGACCAACGGTTTGCACGAGAGGTCCGTACGGACTGAAAATGATTATCAAGTCAAGCTTGGATCAAGTCGAGCCGAGCGTAAATTTCTGTGATCACTGAAAGCGTTTATGAAGATACACGTTCGAAAATTAATGATTTTACCCTGATCGTGGGGGACAATGATGTCACGTAAATAATGTCCAAGATTTTTTCTTAACCTCCACAGTTGTGAATGATTTTGCTAAGTCCGTGTATGAAGTTCTCAATTTCGCCATGACGGCAGAAGATGTTTTCGATTTTGTAATGATCGCATACAATGATGTCGATTATACTGTGACGGTGGAAGATGTTTACAGTTTCGCCGAGATTGCAGATTATGTTCTTTATTTTGCCGTGACTAAAAAAGATGTTTCTCCTACCATGAAAAAAGTTGATAGTTTAGCCGAATTCCCGTATTAGCAGATGTTCTTGATTTTGCCATTATTGTGGAAGATGTTCTTGATTTTACCGTGACCTTGAGAGGTGTTAACGATTTTGCCAACACCACGGATGACAATCACAATTTTAACGAGACTGCAGACTAAAACGGGTTTCCCCAGTGCAAATTTAAAATTCCCGTATAGTTCCAGATTCAACATGAATTTAAACAAACTTCCTCAAACTCTCGGTCCGTATGGTGGTGGGGTCTCATGGGGGAGGCTCCTCACCCACATCGATGGAGGTGCATGAATACATTAAATGGTAAATTTAAATAAACTCTTAAGTATGGTTTTGCATGATTAAACTTCTAAGATTCTTGCCAGGGGTGGTAAGGAGGGATAAGTGAGCTTTGGCCAATAAAAAAATTCAAAACTCATAAACTGCGATAGACATTTGATAAAATTCAAAATTTTGTTTACAGTTTTGACACCAGGATTTATTTTTTTACCTACTTAGTAGTAATATACGCATTAAGCTTGTGTTACGGCCCTGCCATAGTACGGTAATGTTGTGGTAGAAACGGGAGGCCCTCCAACCGAACATGACCGAGGGAGCCCTGGTGGTAGAGAGAGGAGGTAGATAATTGTGTCTGGACCTCCTCTCTCTCTCTTAGTTGTCCTTTATCCAAAGTATACCTTAAACCTTTTTCCAACCCACTGGCCTGGCTTCCTTACTATCTTCCCATCATCCAGCTGGCTGTTGTCAACGCATCATCGAGGAAGAGCTGTATTCTACTAACTATGTAAGTATATATTCAAGGAATAACAGTCATAGGGAGTAGAACCTTAGTGTAAGCTAGAAACTACACTAAATATAGTGGAGCCACAACACGTTACATGAACATTATTAGATCTTGAAGAAGACAAAAAAAGGCTATATTTTACAAGGAAGTTGTTTGATTGCTATGGAAAGATTTGTTATGTTAGGATCTAAACCTTTTTAAGTCCAAAACGTGTAATATCCGCACTTAACACTAACGGCTGAATTGAACCTTAATTGCATATTATAGAGCTCAAGGAGAAAAATGTTGAGCAAATAAGGTTTTAAGTGAAATATCCTAATATTTTTAACTGCTATTCAGTGAAAATACACAGATAACTGTCTATTTAGGATTTGGAAGAAGCTACAAAGACTGGCTTTTTACACACATTTTAATGTTTTAAGAATTAAATTATTGATCATTGACAAACTATGTTAACCTATTCTACAACTTAAAACAGGTTGCACTGTCTAAAATAGGTAATTAGAAGTAAGTTCCGGTCAAGTTGGTATACCATTTAAGAATTCTTTGATACTGTTTCAGATCTTTTAATGAGTGTCAACATTAGCAAGAATCTACTTAAGTAAGAGTCTACATCAGTGAGATGATTGCATACCGGTAGTACAAAGTCTGACCTTTCTTTGAACTTCCTTTGCAAACATGTTGTCATCAGCTGGCATGTCTTATGTAATTCTAAGGTAGCCTAATTTTTTGCATTTCTTTTAGGTAGCTGAATGTTTAAATCATTTATGTCTACAATAAGTAACAGTTAAAATACCTAGAAGATATTTTAACAATGTAAATCCATAGGTTTGTAGATAGATTTACTTGAGTGACAGAACCAAATGATAATTTTGGTCAGATATAAGACCGCACGCGGACATCGGTTTGCGCTATGTTTTGATGAGGTATTTGGTATTAATGAAATAATTTGCCGAGCAACATTTAAGTTACCAGTAGTTGCAATGAAATTCTCTATACCATAAGAATCCCTAGAAACTATTAGAGTAACTGGAATACACTGTTTCTAATATGAAAGAAAAATATTGAAAAATCCGTATAGTCCTACTAGTAAATTATATAAAATCAAATTACCATAAAGTAGGTTGGTCTGAGGTTGTTGAAGTGTTCATCTTTAGAGTTCTGAACCAATAGAGGTTTCAATCGGAATATTTACTATTGAGAGTTCTGATAGTTCTTCCTGACTCCTGAGGCTTCAAAATAGCTTCTTTTTGCCGGAAAAACGTCAGTGTCATCATAAACAGTAAGAAGTATAAGTAGGCCTAGCTTAAATTAGAAGATACCTAGTGTTGGCTGTTCCTCCATCTAAGTAAAAGTTTAAGTTTGGCGTTTGAGCTGCGGTTATTTCTGAGGGACATGATTGAATTTAAGTTTAGTCACTGATAGAATTCAATGTTTCAGAACATTTTGAAAAACTCATTTATAAAGCTAGGTCTACTCAAAGAGTAGTCTACCATAACTCAGCAAGTTTTTATAGACTAGGCCTATTGTAAATAGTTGGAGTTAGAGCATTGACTGTGTTGGAGGTAGCCTATTTGAGAAGGACAGATTAGGGTTAAATTACATAGAGATTTCTTACAAACTTAATTTCTGATATAATTTATTGAATATACTTACGGTTTTTTCATTGACTTTGAGATACAAACATAAATAAACATAAACATAACCCTACTTTTCAGTTTACAATAATTTACATGACTTGTATTGTTCATCATTGACTAAAGAAAACAAGAGCTGAAAAAAATGAAGCAATGAATATGGAATATCAGAAAGAGAATGGGTGAAGCAAAGCGATGATATAATTATTGTGTACAACGAGAAATAACAACAGGATCTGAGTGTGTTGTACGACGACAATATTATTCCAATAATTCCGTGTGCGTGCACATAGCGTCCACACTAGTGAGTTTTATGACTATCCGCTGTACTATCCTGATAATTAGACCAATTTGTTAATTACAAGGCAAAAAGGTGGATCGGATTCCATTAGAAAGTACTGTAGGTCCCTAAGTTGCGATTGGCTATTAACATCTGTGTCCAAGGGTCGTTTTGGACTTAATCGCTAACAAGACTACAAGATCGCCCCACTCATTTTACACTCATCTAAAATACCTACTTTGTATGATCACAATTTCAATGAAAAGTATTAAAGTATTAAGAGTAAGGCCTAAGGGAGTGTTGTATCTATTTTTATGGTAACACGTAATGCGATTGCGAATCTTATTACTTTCTACAGTCATCAAAAATTATATCTATTAGCATAGAATGATATAATCATTGTCTTGTAATTGCTAAAACTGTAATTTCTTACAATTACTTTACCTGTCTTATGTGAATTGAAAAAAAAATATCAACATGAACTGCACTGAGACTTGCACTCGCACATGAATATGATTCTAATCAAGACATAGACAACGATTTCTTTACACCCCTCTTATGCAAACTAAGATTCGGTCATCTATAATGCTACAAGACTATTTCAAATGAAGAAGAGGGAATCTCCGTATTGCACCAAGTGTGGACTAAGACTAAGACAACTTGAAACAATAGAGCACATCATTACAGAGTGCCTAGCCTATAATAGGATGAGACATTGCCTTTATGCAAAAATAAAGAAATAAGTTAATTGGAATTCACCACCAACTGTCCAAACAATCCTAATGGAAAAGAATTGCAAGCTATGGCCACCATTACTATAATGTTTAAAAGGAACAGGAATCCAACCTTGAGATATATTTAAATAATTAAACAAGACATTCAAATTGAAATTTCTTAACTAGCATCATGCTGGCATTTTGAAAAAGCCCGGGAAAAATTTTATCAATGCAATAGTGTGGCTACATGGTTAGTTAAACCAAGCCAGCTTTACTAAAGCAAACTAGAAAAGAAGAAGACCAGCACATGCACATGTGAGAGAACAGAGAACGGCAATCAACATTACACAAATACAAAACATAACCTAAACCTATTTGTTGACATCATGCATGCAATTACAATTTTATTTTATTTCATGTTAAATTAAGTACCAACCAGACTGTTTCGACTTTTGAATAAAAATATCGGACATTACTCCCTGGATCCAATTCTTACTGAAGTTAATTTTAGTAACCATTTAATGTAAGTAGGGTACTAAGTAAAGTAAAGTAGAGTTGTAGAATAGCCTAATTAGGCCTTTAATTTTTTTAACAAGGTTAAAATACAATCTCATAGGTAAGTTAGCTGATACTTTTTACTTTGTTATTAGGTTAAATTATGAGCTGTTGTTCTGTATAAATTGGCTGAAAGCGGGATGTGAATTTAATAAGTTAGTGCACACAGCTGTAAAATGGCTTGAGAGTCAAACGCGGAAATGAGTTGAATCAGTACTTAGCCTATTTTATACCACTCGAGTATAAGTTATATAAGTATAGCCGATATATAAGTTAAGTTAACTCAGTCACTATGAGTCAACAGCGCTGAATATAAATTTTTAAAAGCACTTGAATCTAAATAGCTCCTTAAATTGTATTTACAAGTCCGCATTGCTGGCAACCATAGGTTTGTGAAATACGCGAGTACTGACTAGAATCAGAAGAATCAAGCACATTTTACCCTCAAGTTGACTGAATCCTTGACTTGTCACTTCACTAACTAAGCCAGAGCGTTTACAGTACCGGTACCTTTTATTTTAGTTAGTTTTATGAGTCCATTTACTACATAAGGATTGATTTAAAAGTGTCTTTTCTAATGCAGACATACATTATTAGAATGTCCAAATCTATGACCCCCCCCCCCCTCCTCACAAAAGCTAGTTTCTCTTGCTTTTCAGGAGGCCACAGAGTAAAAAATTAAAGGGATTTTTATTAGGTACCGGTAAATAAACATTCACTAATTAGTAGGCCTAACCCTTGTTTATAAAACTATAGGTTTTCTATCATTTTTGTTCTAGATGGGTAAACTACAGAACAAGGAGGGAGGAACAGGTGCAAGAAGAAAAAAGTTTAAAAAACCTCAAAAACCAGTAGGCCTATCAAATATACAACATGACGACCGAAAAAATACAAAAGAAAGTCGTAAACTCGCTGAAAAGAATTTAAAAACTTTAAAGACATTGAGTGAGACCGCTAATAGAAAAACAATAGTAAAACGGTTTGAACCTCAAACAAACAATAAAGATGGTACCATTAAAACTACTGACAAAGAGAGGATACCGGTGCCTGAAGAGCTGTTGAAAAAATACAGTCGTGGGGAAGGCATTAAAGGAGTTGGAATCAAAACCCATTTAGAAAAAGTTAAACTTCTGAAGAGTGATAAAGTTGTAGAATGGGCAACAGAACAGGCTGCGAGATCTACGGTTTTACTGACAGAAGATTCTGGGTAAGCTGTAATTTTACTTTTTACTAACTGAGCCTACTACTAACTTTTGACAGTACCCTACATTAAATGTGGAGTGAGCTGGTCTTAGTGGTAGAGCGTGGGGCTTCGGTCTAAACAGAATTCTAACATGGAATCTAATCTACTCTAGAATGGGACCTACTTTAGTTAATCTAATCCAACATTGGTTCACTTTTTAATTTTGTTATACATTTTTGTAAAACAATTTTAAACCGATAACAAACGTTATATAAGTTAGACTCATAGCATCCTATACTTGAGAAGGTTAAAAACAATAAAACACTGTAAATTTTGTTACTATCTAAACTTGGTGGTATTTTCAAGGAGGTAAAGAGGAAGTACACAATCATCTCCACAATGCTAATAAACACATCCCAACAATTTGTTAATCGTTTTGTTACAATTACAGTTTTATTGAACCTGATGAAAACGAGGTAACAAGACAGTACAGCCAAGAGCAGATATCAAATAACGTTGATATCACCAGTGCTGCTAAAAGATTTGAATTAAATCTTCAGTTTGGACCCTACAGGTAATCAAATTGTTTTATTACTTTTTGTTTGACCAATACAATACCTATAGTTGTGTGTATGTTACTTGACTTTTATGTTCCATTCCAATAGTTCCAATAGTCCCGTTTTCAGGAAGTATGTTGACTTAATAGACTGTTTGTCGAACCAAATAAATTCTTTTTAAATAAGAAATCTTTGGGAATTGGCTACTTTGAGATTGAAGACTTATTCTAAGTGTTTTGAGATTTTAAGTTTGAGAGATGTAAAGTAGGCCTAAAACATTGGCTAAGGTACTGTATTTTCTTCCTTTGATTTAGAAGTTTTTCATCTTTTATTTTATAACTTGTAAAAACTGTGTGTTCTTTTAGTGTTCTTTTTTCAAACTAAAAAATTGTTGTAGGTCTAGGCCTTTACCTATATTTTTTAAGTAAGACACCATGCCTTTGAAAAAATGCTCCTTTTTTTCTCCTAAAACATATTTAGTTAACTGTTGTTCATTCAATAAAAGGTTTTAACAGTTTCACATTATTATAGACCTAGCTTAATATTATGAAATAAAAATATATGATTTATGGTATTGAAAATTATTTACAGAATGAACTACACAAAAAACGGACGTCATCTGCTGTTAGGAGGCAGACGTGGGCATTTGGCTGCTTTTGATTGGGTCACAAAGAAACTTCTATGTGAAACTAACGTAATGGAGACAATCTCTGATGTTCAGTGAGTACATAAATCTTTAACGTTTGAAAACATCGTAACTCATTGGCCCACTTGTTTTTAGATTAGCCTTGAGGAATCCTATTAATTTTGGAAATTTACAAGCTTTCACAATGCTCACAGAAAAACATGTGTCTAACAACACATGTTTTTAAAGCTTCGCCAGTAAAATCAACACCCAAATACAGTAGACCCTCTCTTAACCGACCTCGTATTAACCGATAATCGGATTATCCGCCTTCCATCGTAAAATATCACAGTTTGTTTTAACCGACCTTGCTTTGAGAGCAGCTCATTTAACCGCCGCTTTCTAGGAATCTTGGCATTTCCGCTCCCACGCTGGGCGATGAGAACTGAACCATACGCTTATCTCCACAGGATATGACTAACAATAGGCTATTTTGTGTTGACGGAAAGTAAATAAAAGAAACGTCTTATAACACTTAAAACATATATTTACGCTTATACTGTTACTCACAAGACGGTAAATATACAAAAAAGGTGGTAAGTGGTGATCGATTTCGATTGGACACTCCAATCATCATCAGACCCAATAGGCGCATGTTGACCATTGGGTCTGATGATGATTGGAGTGTCCAATCGAAATCGATCACCACTTACCACCTTTTTTGTATATTTACCGTCTTGTGAGTAACAGTATAAGCGTAAATATATGTTTTAAGTGTTATAAGACGTTTCTTTTATTTACTTTCCGTAAATTTAATAACACGTACAATGCTGATCAAGAAGTTATTTTGTGTTGAGCACAAAAAATATAGGCTAGCATATTGTCAGTTTGTCATCATTGTTTATAGTGCGAGCACATCCTGATCTGATTTGTTATCTGTGCGGTAAATTTATAAAATCTTAAAGTGCGTTACGATTTTGAGAACTGATTATCTTATCGCTAGAGTAAACAATAATGCAACTTGTAGGGAGGGCAGGGAAGGGGGGTTAGAACTAAAGTTATTAAAATAGGAATTTTTATTGACTCTTGCCTAGTACTAGGCCTATAGTCTATTCCACTTAAAGTAGGCCTATTTGACTTAACGGTGTTTAGTGTTTATTTATGACTTTTCTATCAATAGGAAAAAAAGGGGATAAGAGTAGCCTAGTTTATTTTATAAATAATAGAAGTATGACTTCAAAATAATGATTATATAATTCAAAACGGTATAGAACGTAAAAAGTAGCTACGTGAGAAGCTAGCTTTAGCATAGAAATCGTGGTAGTTCCTTGTGAGTTTAACTTTATATGGAGCTACAACTAAGAAAAATCTTAATCGAATCTTAAAATTACAGCAAAGGGCATTAAGAACAATGATGGGATTAAAAAATGATGAATGTGTTAAAATTCATTTCAAAAATTTTAAAATATTAACTGTGTTTGCCCAATACATTTTTGAAACTGCTCTCATAGCGAAAGAAAGTATATCAGATAACGCACAATTATGCTACAATACAAGAGGAAAAGCCCTAAGAGAAAATAGTCGCAACCATCTTTTATTTTCAAATAAAAAGCCCACCTGTGCCGGAAGAAGATTTTTACGGTTTCTTCCAAATCATTTAAAACCCATTGGCAACTCAATCAAATTTAAAAACAAATTAAAAAATTATCTCATAGAAATCGCTCCCTACTCCATTAAAGAGGTGTTTCCCCAATTAACGTGATTTTATTTTTAGTTTCTTAGTATTATATAAATTGTAATTTTAGCTTATAACATTATTTACTAGGTTAGGAATCTGACACTATTCAATGTACAATGTACAATTGTTGAATAAAGATATTGAAATGAAATGAATGAAAAAATTAATAACACTTAATTATGTTATGATTTTAGGGATTGCCCGTTTTAACCGACCTTTTGAGTTATCCGACCTAGGTCCGGTCCCATTAGGGTCGGTTAAGAGTGGGTCTACTGTAGTTAGTACCAAAAGCACATCACTTAAACTTCCCTCCCCTCAGCTATGTCTCAGGGAAACAAATCGAGTTTCAGTGACAAATCCCATTACATGTTACTTTTAAGTAAGTCTGCTTAAGCTGAGTGTTAGTGTTATCCCTATTGCCTGGTGATCAAATATGGTTGTCGGTTCCATCCTGAGATGAGTCGGTAGGTTTTCGATGATTCAAAACTGGGCTCAGCTGTCTTTGTGGGCTTTAAGTAACTAACTAATAAAACAAAATTGACAGGAAAGCAGGCTTACCTTTAAATAAAATAAAATTTAAAGGTAAGCCTGCTTTCCTGTCAATTTCCTTAATAATTCCTGGCAAATGCCCTATCTTTTTATAAGATAACTAATAAAACAGCTGTTCTTAGTTTGTAACAAAGCTACAAAGGTCGTTTTCATTTTATAATGCACTTGCCTTGCATTTATATTCTTTTTAAAATACACACCCAAGTGTAGGCCTACTTAACTGACGTCTCAAAGAATTGATGAGTAGGCAGAGAATATAAGTAGACACTCTCTTTAGCTTTGAAAACTCTTGGATTTTAAACCTTGTTCATTGTGACAGGTGGTTGCACCAGGAGACAATGTTTGCGGTAGCGCAGAAGGACTGGGTCTACATGTACGACAACCAAGGCGTAGAGTTGCATTGTATCAAGGCACTCAACAAGGTGTTACACATGGAGTTTCTTCCGTACCACTTCCTTCTGGCCACTGGAGTGAGTCAGTTTATTGTTTTGATTTTTTTACGTTTTTGATAAAACTTATTTTTAGTTTTATCTTTTGAAGTTTTTCCTTGTTGTGTCAGGCTAATCTGGACTCTGTCTACCAGATAAGCTAGCTGATCCCTATCCTTGTACATAATAATCCTAAAATACCATTATGACAGTGAAGAGTGCTAAGCAGATGTCAATCAATCACTGAAAGTCACTTATTGTACAAGGGATCATGCCAGTCATTGAAATGTCACTTTTTTACTAAGGAGTCATTCAAGTTGTTTGAAAATTATTCTTAATACTAGTACATGCCACACCTAAAAATTTACTACCTATCTTTAGTCTAAGGCTACTGCTACAGCCACACTTGGCGACCTAGTCGCTGCAACCAAATCACCAAAAAAATCATCCAAAAAAATTCATCTGCGACCTGGTCTGAAGAGGTGTCACATTTTAGCGACTTCTATCTGTTGACTTAGCTTTTAATGAAAGAGGAGGACTTGTTGCTATTTGTTGCGTGTTGTCTAAAATGGAAGGAGAAAACACAAATTCAGAGTGCATAGACTGAAACATCGCTATTTTCGCACTCTAACAAAATTGCTTAAGGATGACGTAGTTTCAAATTAAAAATTATTTGTAACATTTTTGAGTGAGCGTAGCCATGTTTGATGATCTACCGACATTAAACATAACATAGTGCAAAAAATACAAGGTTTTGGATTCCTATTGTGTCAGAAGATACTTAATCCTCTAGGCTTGCATTTCATAGCATACAGGTGTTTATTTTGTTCACAAAGATATCTGTATTATACAGCATATTTTCCAACTGCACAGTACCACTGTTAGACCAAAACTGAACAAGATATACAGTAAAACAGTGCAGGAATTGGGTGTGCAAAGATGCGACTTGTCACCAAGTATGGCCGATGCCGTAAGATAACACGGAGCGCATTTGTTGCTGGGACCTGGAAATGCTCCTGGATGTGTTAGTTTTTTCTGTCGCAGACGATCTCAGGTTACAGGTCACTTGACGAGGCCGTCGCATTGAGTTTCATGTTAGCCGTTTCTATCCTTTGTCGCAATGACAAGTTTTCAAGTGTGGCTGTAGCCAAATAGTATTTAGCTGTGTATTATCATCTAAAAAAAAGTAGGCCTAAAATAATCAAAGATAGGAAATCTTTTTTCATCCCACGAAATCAAAAACAAGAAAGAACACACTTTTTTTGCTTATTCGTTATGCTTATAGTGCAAACAAAAAATATCTACAGTGAACATAGTAAATACCTTGCAATCAACACCTGGTTCCTTGAATTCAAAGAAGTTTTCCTACTTTAATAACTACGCACAAAACAACTCTAGTTCTTTACAGTTGAAGGTTGTTTATAACTGATGGATACCTTGTGTAGCAACCAATGTCTAATTATAAAAAACTTGTGGATCAGATACGTTAATGTTAACTGCAACAATATTCCAGACCAAACACTTAACATTAACAACCTCTAGGTTGGTGTTATTGAGCAAATGATACTCTTGTAGAGTTTGAGAATATAAATCATGTATTAATTATTGAAATGAAAAAAATTTTTTAATTTCAAATTTGTTTAGAATCAAGATGGATTCCTCGGCTGGTTGGATGTTTCCATCGGCAAGATGGTGAACCATTTCAACAGCAAGCAAGGTCGTCTGAAGGTTATGACGCAAAACCCCAGCAATGCTGTGATTTGTTTAGGCCACACCAATGGTGAGCTTTTACAAATTAATAGTTTTACATAGAATCTACTCACAGCTGCGTATGTATTGGAATCACTTGTAATTCAGTAACTTTATGGGTTTACTAAATACTAGTTGCTTTGCCCATGCTTCACAACGGAGTGAGGAAACGGACGAGAATAACGTGGTTATTTAAATATACTTTAAAAACAGTTATACATCCATCCACCATATACCTAGAGGGAAACCTCAATTTTACTGCTTAGTTTGATCTGTGCTTTGATCTGTCGGGTCTGATGTCCAATGAGGAATTTAACCTTCTGCTGCAGAGCGTTGTGGTGGGAGAGGTTCACCTAAAATAACAGTGAACAGCTGGGTTAAAAATTGTTATAATTGGTAAATATAAGAAAATTCTCTGTTGTTAGCAACTCAAATCAGACATTTTGCTTTATGCATACAATAGGGGAAAACCTAACAAAACTTTTGTTTGAGTTAAGCCTCTGAATCACTGATCAATACATGTTTTGGTGCAATTATCTGCTGCCAAGTGTTCCTTGTGACCTTGAAAAGCAACCGGTTTCGATCCTCACGGGATCATCTTCAGACAAACATCATCATCTTCATTTCGTTCTTGCGAACACGTTGATTTTGAAAAAAAAACATTGAGTCATGTTACGAAACACTTACACCTAACACTTAAAAATAGCCAATAACCAATAGGTAACCAATAACCAATAGGTAATAGTAATTGGCCATTTTTACGTGTTTTGTAACATGACTCAATGTTTTTTTTATCGATGTGTTTGCAAGAACGAAATAAAGATGACAACGTTCGCCTGAGGATCAACCTGTGAGGATCGAAACCGGTCACCTTTCAAGGTCACAAGGATCACTTGACACCAGGTAATTGCACCAGTGCACATAACAAAAATTATAATTACCGAATGATCAAGTTCAAAAGGTTAATTGTACTAGTGAGACGTTCTTTGTCCGACAGGTACAGTGACGATGTGGAGTCCAACAGTGAGGGACCCCCTGGTGAAGATGTTGTGTCATAAACAGCCATTAACTAGTGTGGCTGTCGACATGCGCGGACAGTGAGTTTATATTGTATCTCCTTGCTTGTATCTCCGTGGTAGGCTATACGATACACAGTGAAACCTCACTGAACCGGCGTTTCACATCCTGGAACCAGTTTAAAAGGGTTTTTTAAACTGGATAGGCTTGTTTCCTACTTATAGCACATTCGACAGAGTTTAAGTGCAATTTTGAGGTCAGACAAGATCTGAAAATGGTCTCATACCTATTTGTTGCCATGTAATCCTCAATTTCAGCAATATTTCAACTAGGACCAAGAAATAATGGCTAACTTTCATGGAAATCAGTTATACAGCATTTTAATGATCTGGCATTGTGGAAGTCCTGATCTACATAGTGTCTTCTATAGTTCCAAGAATTAAATTTTAACCAACTAACGTTATGCAGTTCTGTTACATAAAAAGGTTTTGCACTTACAAACACAACTGGGTGTATTTACACAAATTTAATGTAGTTTATTGGCTGAAAGAAATGGATTCACAACCAACTTGCTCAATAAAAGAAGTTCCAGAAAATCCAACATTAATCAAAAACCTCTAAACACATTTTCTTCTGAAGGGTTCCTATTGTAGTACCGGTAGAGGAATATCAAATAAATTGTATTGCGAACAATTTTTGTGCTGTCAACCTGCGTCCCTATCGCTGAAAGAACTGATGTTGCTATCAGCTGATCATAAATACATGTGAAATGTATATTTAAAAAACCACAGCGGCAGTAGCACTCTTAGATTCTGGTGTCCAGCAGATTCAATCACAAAGATTTTATCGGCTCGGAGAGTTCTTTATTAGGTCTTTATTTCGTGCTGGAACTCTTGTCTTGGCAAGTTAAGTTGTGTGACCATTCCTTCTTCCTTTTACTAATATATTGGGATTTACGCAGACACATGGTGACGGCTGCGGTGGACAGGTCTGTTAAGGTGTGGGACGTTCGTCAGCTGACAGGACCTCTGCAGGATTACCGCATGTTCTCTGTCGTCAGCAATGTTGCCATCAGCCAGCGAGGACTGGTCGCTACCTCGTCTGGTAATGTTGTGGAGGTAATATGATAGCAGTATGTGATAAAAGACTGGGTTTTAAGGAGTTTGCGGATAGTAGCTTTGACTTTAGGTAAAAGTTGACATCCTATTCCCATGAGATACAGTAGAGATGGCAACTGCGATCTCATCCGTAAATTGCTGCCAGATGTTTCACCCTTATGAAGAGGCATCCTCAGTAGTAGCTATTTACAAATGATGATGCAGTTGACGCCGAAACAACCATGAATTAGTATCCTATTCCCATTTTTTCTCCATTAACAGTTGGGCAGTTTTAGTATATAGTTGAATTTTGAACCTTCAACAAAACATGCTGCTTTCAAGCATTGACTTCTGTTGAAGAACACACCAATCTTTTTGTCAAACTGAAAGGACAATTTATTCCGAACCATATTCTAAAACATTTATGTAAGATCAACTATCAATAGTACTGATAACTAGTGAAAAATTAAATTTTGATAGTAGCTTAATTTGTGAGAAGCTCATTCAAATAAGTTCTAACTACGCCATTAGGGTGTCTATTTCAGAATCCAAAGTTTATGAGTAGGTTTACAAGAATGCAAAAGAATCCACCCTAGCACAAAAATACAAAACTTATTTACACAAATGAGAATATCTCACCGTTTCTGCCAGCATTTTTAACCGAGGAAGTTTTGAGTTGGAAATGGAGTTGTGGTGAGGTTCAATTATGGCCAGAAAGTACTTCAACATGAAACCTTGTTGCTTGGTTGAAAAGTGTTGTAAATCAAATTCAAACAATTTAGTTAACTCATAAACAATGTATATAATTTTTCATGAATTTGTCAACTTAAAGAAATGTGCAGTATGACAAATTGTGTAGTTTGTTATTTTTTGACCCTCAATCGAAAGTTCCATGTTTAATAAATTTTGTGTCCAAAAGATTCACATTACGTCCTAGTGACCGATTGTATATCACAGTGGCATTTCAAGTATCAGTACAAATATCTAACATATTGCAAGATAGTGATTTGTTGACTTTTTCCAGATATATAAAGATTTCTGCTCGCCAGGAGAAGGGGATAAGCGAGCTTATTTGAGGCAAAAACTTTACAAAGGCGTTGAGAACTTACAGTTTTGCCCCTTTGAGGACATTCTCGGAGTTGGAACTTACAATGGATTTACGAGCCTCTTAGTACCAGGTCTGTTTTGATTTTCAAATATTTTAACCAGATACTAGCTTCAGAAAAATATGTAAAATGATAAGGTAAAACAATTGTTAAGATAAAATCGACTGTTAGTTTCAGTTACATTTGGTTTTAAATAGGCTAAATAAAGTTACCACACACTTATAATGATCTTCTTTGATAAGATTTATTGTTGGCGATGGTAGGCTATGTCGTTACAGGAGTTATTGCAGGTAAAAAAGTAAATCCACTACTTAGGATGGACAGGTCCAAAAATTTTTGGTGAAATATAAATTCTTGGTGTCTTGCGCTTGATTAAATTTAATTCAGGATTTTCTCAGTGCGAGGTTTGCCCCGACTGTCAGCTGTTTTGCTGCTGCTGTGAGAGAAGATCATGTGTTGACGTCAACTATACAAAATGTACATTTGTAATTTGTTGTGATAAATTCTTGATTCTTGATGATGATGATATCTCCGTGATCATATAATGTCCACGATTTTGCTTCAATTGCTGGAGATAATGATTTTGTCCCTAGGATGGCATAAAACCAATTTACTCTCGATATTTCCTTATTTAAGTTTAATTATTAAAATTAAATTAATTAATTTAAAATATATTAATTTAAAAATTTAATTACATTAAAATTAAATGTATTTATTTAGTTATAAATAGAAATTATAACTTTACCTAATCCTATGTTTCCCTTGTCTCTCTAACACTATAGTTAACACACTGCTGTTGGTTAAGTTATTTTATAACTTCTTATTTATTCTGACTTATTTGCAATATTTTCTATGATGACAGGTAGCGGAGAGCCTAATTTCGATGCTTACGAGGCAAATCCATTCCAGAGCAAGAGTCAGCGTAGAGAAGCCGAAGTGAAGGCACTATTGGAAAAGGTAAGGTCAAGTTTTGTTTAATTACTCGTAACAAATCTATAAATAAAATTGAAAATCTGTCTTTTAAAGTAGATGTTCTTAAAACAGGAGCAGGAGTTTTGTCTCAGTTCAAATAATTGACTGAGTTTGTTTATTATGATCTACCTAGACAGTTTCGTGTATGAAGTTGCTGTAATGTGATATTTTGGCATTCAACAACATAAATTTTTTTACATTTTTGCATGTAAATAGTGAACGTTTTTCCTTGAAAACATGTGCCTTACATAAATATTGGCTGGGTAGCTAAGTGGTTTAAGTGCTTGTGTAACAGTCAAAAGGTTGTTGGTTCGATCCTGAGAAAGGTTAAGGTTAGTATCTTTTGATGGTTCGAAACTGGACCCAGCTGTCCAAGACAATTTAAGAAGTGTTGAACATGTTTCTGTTATTGTTTTATTCAATAAAACTACCTTATTTTTAAACAAATGTTTGCTGAAAATTCTATTTGATCATTTTTTTATTTGCTATGCTAAAACCTATATTTTACTGGTGGTATTTGACTTCCGTGGTACGTTGTATTGATATTCAAAGGTGGTACTGTAACCCATAACCTCAAAATGTAAGCGAACTCCGCTTCTGAGATTCCCAGTAACCGAGGCGACACGGTCCTAATCCGGGTTTGTTCGGGAGTTTACTGTATTTCACAAATCAACAAGAATATTTAATTTTACAGATTCAACCGGAGATGATCACCCTGGACCCAGCCTCCATCATTGAGGTGGACTTGCCTTCCCTCAAAGACAAACTGGAAGCCAAGAAGTCTTTGCTGGTAAGCCCAAAACAGAAGTTTACTTTACATTTGTCTTTATTGGTCCTGACTAAATAATTAACTTTACCTATTTTTGAAAACATTGTACAGTCGCATAACTTGGGGGTTGTATGGATCTGTTATTGTTTGCATATACATATACGTTCGGTCTTAGTAATATACAACCACTTGCCATCTTTTTTGTATATTTACCGTCTTGTGAGTAACAGTATAAGCGTAAATATATGTTTTAAGTGTTATAAGACGTTTCTTTTATTTACTTTCCGTAATATACAACCACAGGATAGAGTTCTGTAGAGTCGGTGGCTCAGTTGGTATCGTCACGGACTTTGGGCCCAAGGCAGAAGTGTCGTGGGTTCGGATCCTGGTCACTGCCACAAACTTTTATCAGTACAGTTCACCTTTGTACTGTACCGGCTCACCCCTTGCTTTGCTGGATACGTTCCACGCACAGTAGCACTGTAGTCTATGTGGACAGACAAATGCAAGGTTAAAAGAGGCCGCCAACCTCTTTATGTAAAAAAAAATAAAAACCTCACATGTTTTCAGGTTTGGATAAGTCCAGACTGCCTGGTTGTCCCATGACAAGTCTGCGAAACTAGACAGTTTTTAAAATAAGAAGTTTTACTAGAAGTTGTTTCATTCTACTACCCGGGAATAAATAACTAAACATTATTCTCTCGTTAATATAGCCAAGATTGAATCGTCATATTTAATCAAAAGCTAAATTTAAAACTCAATCTGTCATAATTCAAGTATTTATGGTAAAGCCTAAAGCCTACTAATATTAAGCAAATTCTGTAGTAAAAATAAAAAGATTTTTTGTATGTACAGTCAATGGTAATCAAAATGTTGATCCTGATAGTTGGAAGATTTTTGGTGGTCCAAAACCATACGCAGCTGACCTTGATAATTGGGCTTTTAGTTTTAAATGGACCTGGCTATATTACTTAGTCGGTAAAATTCATTTGTGAATCTAACCTTTTTTTATCTTGGCAATCTTCCAGTTCCTGAAACCACCAAACATTGACTTCACTCCTCGTAAAAAATCCAAGAGGCACGGAAAAACAGTCCAGATGGCAAAAACAAAGAAGATTATGAAAGAAAAGCAGAAAAGAGTAAGTATATATGCCCAGTGTATTGTGGAGAAACGATAACCATTGGACCAAGTAATTTACTTAACCTAAATAATTGTTATTGTAAATTCACTATTTTTTGTGAAGGCTTAATTTTTTTAAACACTTGTACAGTAATAACACATTTGAGAGACTTTTTTACTTTGCTTACATTTGGATTGATAATACTTTTTTGCAAAAAGAGCCAACCATGAAATAAATTCTAATTCTAGTATCAACTAAATGTAAATGTTTTAATATTTTTTTTATTTCTTGAGTTTTAACCATAATATTTATATAAGGCAACATTTTTAAGCAAGTTTCTCTCAGCTACTAGTTCTTGCTATAAAACGAGTTTGCAAATGTTTTCCAATATTTTGTAAATTTTAACTTTTTACCTTTATGAACATAAAAATTGTATTTTTTAAATTTGGATTAAATATTATCAACCACATGTAAGAACAAACACATACGTTAACATTCTGTTGGAGATGGTGTATAGAGTAATGATAGGAGTGTAGATGTACATTCGTTTGCGGCATTTCATAAAACTTCTCTTAAGTGGCTTTTGTATGTTCCATGAATTTGGGCATATGTTGTGTTAATGTTTCATCTGTTTGCGTGACTATTGTCCAATAGTGGCGAATGCCGTTGGCGGTGAAATGGTCAGGGTTTTTTTTTCAATGTAGGTACTTAAGCTTTCCTTTTACAGTATTATCATTCAAATTAGGATTATTTCCACACTGTCCATCATTTTTGGTTTAATTTACAGATATATATTTAGTATCCGACAATGTCAAATGCATAATTTTGTATGACTGGAAAAAAAAATAAAATCTTTAAGACTTAAATTACCAACTCATATATTCTGAAATCTTATTTATTTTACCAACAGCTTAATTCTGTAGCTTTTACAGGTATTAATCAGTGATTTGGAGGCTTAACTAAAAAAAAATTAAAATTATTTATTTTAATACATACAAATTAGTAAATTATGATTACACCTTTTCATGATTTCGTTAGTACTTCATATAATTAGTATGCAACAAATTTCTATTAGTTAAGCACAGTTGGATGTTGGCTAAAAATTAATTATTTTTATTTTTCTCCAGGAGTTTTTGAAAGCGGTTCAAGAAGCTCAACAGCAAGAACAAGAAGACGCATCTCAAAAACCAAAAAGTGTTTTGGATAGGTTTAAGCCACCTCCAAAGAAGAAGAAACAACCACTTTTTGTTCCATAGTCGTGTAAATAAAGTATGTAATTTTCTATGACATTTTAATAATCCACCTTTCTTTAAACTAAAGCTTGTACATTTGCTTATTGTCATTTCCCAAGTAGTTTACGTAAAAATGGTTGGATGGCAATTTATGCAGTGTTGCCAAATCTCTAAGAAATAGAATTGAAGTTACAATCAACTGCAGTTCCTATTGAACTATTTTCATGCGGTCAATTCTAATAGTTTTTATAAACGAATAGATAAAACATAGACACTTAATGCAATTATTTTAGTTTGAAAAGGCATAGTTAAAATACATATAAACACAAAGAAATTAGAAACACTATATGATTACATTCTTTTTTAAATTCTCTTTTGGTGTTTATCTACACATGTGGTATTTTTTAACGATTTGTCTAAAGGAACGCTCAAAACCGTGGTCTTGTCACAACTTTGACCTGTTGTTTAAAAGCATCATTAATTGATAGCCCGGTGACTAATGGTGTGTGGGCCTGGTTACGATATTGCTTGGAATCGAACTATACTTCCACCCAGACAATAAAAGTTCCATCTATTTGCTATACAATTTTTTTTATTCTACATTTAGCTCAAATACAACTGGTTTTGAAGTGACAAATAGATTATTCCTTCACTTTTCTTTTTTATTTATAACCTAAAAACTCAAAATAGCAAACACCATAGACTAACCAACACAAGTAGACTTCTCATCCCATTGTAAATTTTGAAGCACGTTTTTCGTGACTAGTTTCAAATCAATCATTCTTTCGTTTGGTATTATAGCTTGGGGTGGCTGTTATAGGAGTATCTTGGAACCATTAAATATTGCTCAAAAATTGATTTTAAAAATAGGATTTGGGAAATGCAAACGTTACCCGACTGACGCTCTATTTAAAGAAATAGGAGTCCTCACTGTTCGCCAGTTGTACGTAAAATCAATATTAATAAACATTCATACAAATTACAATAACATTTTTCAAAATATTTCACATTTATATAACACAAGATATTCTTCTAGAGTTGGAATCACCACAATTCAAGTGAATTATACTTTTTCTACGACTAATTCATACTATGTTTCACACCTAGTCTATCGTAACATATGCAACATTTTTAGGGATTTCAATTTTTTTGATTGTGACTCATTAAAGGTATTTAAATTCCGCGTTAATGATTTCCTATTCAGTTTAAATATCGACGAGGCCGATTCTATTATCACGGCGGACTACCGGCGCACTTGATCCGACCTTTGCACTGACTGACCTTGGCACTTTGTTAGGACTGTCCGCAGTCGAATTTACCACTCTCCTCCACCCCACTGTACTCTTTACCCTACAATCCACTCATCACTCTCTTCACTACCACCATTACACACGAAACTCACTCACACACATACACACACACACACTCTCTCTCTCTCCTGGCCACCACGGAAATCTATAAAGCGCTATCTTACCAGCACTGTGTTCATGGAAATACATTCACTTATTTAACTAATAATAATAACGACCTATTGTCTTTTTTTAATTGCTATTCCAAAATTCAACAATTTTCTTTTTTCTATTTGACAGCAACTTAGCAGACGCACAGGTAGCACTGCCTATGTCTGCTAGTTCCTTTATTTTATTGTTATAATTTTTGGCTTTATTAAAACTCGTATAAAATATTTTAGCGACATAAGTCTCTGTCTATTATACTTTTTTTAGTTATAATCACAGCTTGTAGCCTATGTTTTTTTGGAATAAACTATATTCATTCATTCATTCATTCATTCATTCATTCATTCATTCATTCAGTTCATGTACGTGACACATGGGCGCTAGTGTCGACAAAACTTTGTTTCTATTATTTTAGGGTTAATTTCTTGATTTGTGCTTTACTGTTTTTTGGTTATATAACTAGGGGACAAGTTAATGTTTATGATTAGATCGGATTATTTGGTTAAACGAGGTTTTAAATGGCTGTAATAACGGGAAACAAATTGTAAACAAAACAAAACCTCTACATAAACCGTACAGAACTAACAATAAAATTGTCTTCAGCTGTTCCATAAGGATGAGAAATCTACTATGGGAGTATGTTTTATCTTTGCAAACACGTACAGGAAAGGTGAAGTAAATGTGAAAATAGGTGGGCAAAACTAACACTCCTGGCACACAGCACGATTTTACCTGTCTGGGGAAAAATCAGCCGGATTTTGATTGTGGGTTTGTTGCTTTCAATCTGTGCCAATTTTTAACCAGGTGAGTAAAAATCGGATCCCCTTTTCACCAAAACTGAGTTCTGCATTAGAGTTCTCCAAGTGAATTTTTCTTTTTGTCTCCAATGGTTTTAAAAATGCGGTTTCAATGCATAGTACACTTCCTCTCAGATTTGTTTTGTAGCTTTTATCAATGTCTTTATAAATGTAATCTTTATAAATTTCCATCGTTTTGTCCCATAACACAATTTTGGATTGAAGTCAAATTAAAACTCCAGGGTCAATTAGGCCATGATTTAAACTAAAAACCCATAAATAACTAAATAAAATACAATAATTACGTATATTTAACTCAATATCTAAATAATTGAAACTGTATAAACAAAATAATTCAAAACTACACAAGATGAACCGTATTTGTGGACGACTTAATCTGCGTAGTGTGCCAGCGCCCATTTGGTCACGTAGTACACGGAGGTAGAGGCCCGGTTTTTTTCTGACTCGGAGCCGGCCTCCACATTGGCATCAACTGTGCCCAACCAAGGAAATAATCGGGCCCAGTTTGTTACCGGCTGACGAGAAAGGTCTTGTACGCTTAGTCGGTCGACTAAAAATATTCACCCGTCCGATGTTCTGCCGGAAGGGTGAAATTGTGTAGTGGGCAAGGAGCACAAGTGTAGAAAATGTTATGTGTAACTTGGGTACAATATGTTTTCTGCATTTGAGACACTATTCAGCAGACATAACTGTAACTGCTATCTCAAACACAATAATGTGATACCAAGTATTTAATAATAATTTTATAGAAATTACTTTCAACCAAAATATTGGACTTAATTTTTGTATTATGTTTTATATATCTGACTATATCATTGTTTTCCTGGCTTCACCTTGTGTCTTACTTTTACTTAAAATCCCTGAAATAGCAGGTTTTTTCTATAAGATAAGTTTGATAGTTATGTTCTTTTAGTTTATTGACGAGAAAGTCTTCTGAATTGATTTATTCATGATTCATCTAGGTATTGCTACAAATCTTGAGTAGATTGTATCTGATATTAGGACACGCCTCTGTTGGAAGTAGAAAAAACATAAAGGATCTGAATACAAAGCTAGAAGAAAGAGAGGACTTGCAAGTATCAACTTTGCCTCTGAAATAAAAAGATATTTTTACTTCATTACCTGGTAAAAAAGGAAATAAAATAAATATTTTAATGTTTCCAAACTTTATTTATTCGTTAAATGAAAATATAAATAACCAGTACATAGTTGCTGAACTATTAAAGCATTGTAACTAAACGACTGAATACAGACTTTAAAAAAAGTGGAAAGGTGAAAAAAACCTGCGGAACCAGCTTTGTATTTTCAATTTCAACATTCTGATTGGGCCGTTTCTTTTGATAGTAATACGACCAATAGGTTTTGCATATTTTCCACTCATTTTGATGGTTTTTGATTTTTCGATGAACTTCCCAACAGCCATGTAATCTATATTATCTTTGTTAAAAGAAACAACTCTTTTAAGATCTTTTAGGAAGTCATTACCGTAGCTGTGAGTGAAGAAATCAGTCATAACTACGTTGTAGAGTACGTCCTTTTTCAGTTCCCTGTAGACCTTCCCTTCAGCCACCTTCACGCTGACCACACGTTTGCCTACTGGTCTCCCCAGATCGAACTTCATTACCAGCCCGGAGACTTGTAACAAACTAGCTTCAAACAGATTGCTGTTGTGTTTCCTCACATCACATTTCCTCACAGAATTCTCCAGCAAGGCCTTCAGATGACTTCCCTTCATCACTACAACTTCCAGAGAGTTTCTGTAGGGAAGAACATTCACCAAATCCTCCAGGATGATATCTCCCGTGTAACCAGGAACAGACTTGCCGAACAGAGACGCCTTGATGGATCCAGAAGGCACCAGAGCTATTAATACAGGCTTGCCATTACTAGCTTTGTAGTTTGCACTGACAAAATCTACAAAAGCATCAGCAATCAAATTTCCGATTGTGCACTCTCCAAATTTGCAGTAAGATGATCCACCTTTCAAAGCCACCTCTGTGGTTCCAATTTTTTTCCCGTATTTTGCAGCTATGATTTCGTCTTTACTTTTCAAAACTTTTTCAATATCTTTAAGAGCTTTGGCGTCTGGTGACCCATTTAATAAAACCGGCTGTCCTTTGAAATCTTTCAGCTTCATCTTATCGTCAAACTTTAATTCAAGATGGCCCATGTACTTGGTTCCGTAGTACGCTTGGACTATCGGGATTCGTTTTTTTGGGTCCTCTATTGGCGAAACAATCGTCGGATAGGGTCCAGCCTTTTTATTGTTCGACATTTCATAATCGCTCAAAAAGGTGTGAGAATGTCCTCCGACAATCACATCGATTTCTCCTACATGTTTGGCTATGATCTGGTCCATGTCGTACCCGGACTGCCCCAGAGCGATGATGATGTCTACTTTCTCTTCCTTTCTCAACCTCTCTGTCTCAGCCTTTAGAGATTTAATTTCATCTTCAATCTTCGCTTCAGCCTCAGGAGAATCAGGTTTTTTAAGATTCTTTTTAGATATAAACTTAGTTACATATCCAACTATGCCGATCTTAGCTTTGTTTTCTCCCTCCTCCAAGGTTATCACTGTGGACCGACTGACTGATTGGAGGTCAGGAATCTTTGTGGTGTCAATGTTGGAGCAGACTACCGGTGCCTTAACTTTCTTGATGTATGGAGCGAGCCCTTCTATACCGTCATCAAATTCGTGACTCCCCAGGCCCATGGCTTGTGGCTCTAGCAGATTCATCATGTCTGCGGCAAGTTCCCATTTGAACTCCGTGTAGTACACTGTGTCTCCGAAGACGTCTCCAGAGTCCAAGTAGAGAGTCGGGACTCCTCTTCCCTTGGCTTCCCTACGAAATCTGATAAGGGAGCTCAGGACTCTGGCGAACCCTCCGTAGCACTTTGCTGACGGCTCTTGACACCGTAGTAGGTCTTCGCTGACCTCTTTGTAGTGTGAGTGCATGTCGTTGGTGTGCAAAATAACTAATGAGAAGTCACATTTTACATATTGAACCGCAAGTACTGCACACATCACAACAACTGTCACCTGCATTAGGCCAATCATGGTTTTACCACAGAAGAATAGTAGAAAAGAACAGCATTGACGGTTACACAAAAAGATTGAGTTAAGCAATATTTCCCTAACTTTTTCTTGTTAAACACTATACTCGCACTACCCTCACAACTTTCATCTCGAAACTGATGCTGTGTTTGCGCAATTGGTGTGATGTACAAGCAATTAGAGCTATTAAGTCTTGATGGATGGCATAACATCATCATTTATCGAAGTTTCAACTTATCATTTATGTTTTAGTTAGTTTTTGAAGATTCATAAATGCTGAAAACTGTATGGAGAGCTGAGAACAAATGATTACCAACACACAGTTTTGCTTTTATTTACTTTTTTAGGAAAATTTCTGTATAAAGCACTTTGATTGCATTATTTAATAGTACTGTAATCATATCAAAACTGACATTTGCAGAGTAATAATATCCCTAGAAATAGAATATATTTTTTTATAAAATTAACATTTCAACGATTGTAATAGATTTTTTTTAGATTTGAATACATTGTAGTAAGTTAATCGTTTTGGGACAAGCTATCGTAACTTAACTTAGTTATGCGTTATGACTTATCTTTTGTACCTTCAACATCTGCGAATCTACCCTAACCTAACACTCTTAAATTGTTCTCAAATCCTAGACATATTTTTATTTATCATTTAAGAATCCAAAACTACTCATCATAACAATTTTCAGTAAAAACAAAATCTTACAAACTGGTGTCTTGGTATGTATTTTATTTAATTAAATATCATACCAAGACTTAAATTTTAAACATTCTAATAAATTTTGCTTGTCAACCTTTCAAAATAATTTTGATATAGAACTCTTTTGTTACAAATAGGGATGGGTCGATTCTCGATTCCACCGATTCTCTGCATTGATCGAGAATCGACCGCTAAAAGTCGATTCCTATGCCGATACCCGACACGTCTGTGAGAATCGCGCGGTCGGAAATTTACCGCTATTGCCGAGATCGCGCTAGACGATGACGATGACGATGATTCGTTACCGCGGAGGACATTCAGGATTTTGCCGTCACCGTAAAGGACAATGACGATGTATACACGACTTCGGGAAATGTTCATAATTTTGCCGCGATCACGAAAGACGATGACGTTGCGTTACCGCGTGGGTTATTCAGGTTTTTGCCGTGACGGCGGGAGACAATGACGATGTCTACACGACCGCGGGAAATTAACAAAATATTTCCGCGATCGCGAGTACGATGATGTCTACACGACCGTGGAAGATGTTCATAATTTGCCCGTGATCGTGGATGACGACGATGGAGTTTCTATGACCGCGGGAGATGATCAGAATTTAGCCGCGATTGTGGAAGACGATGATAATGTGCCGTTACCACAGGTGTTATTCAGGGGTTTTCCGTGTTTTGGGAGACAAAATACAACATCAACACGACCGCGGGAAATTTGTTTAACATAATGGAATCTATAGGAATGGCAACAAGAATCGGTTACAAAGAATCGGAACCGGAACAGGCATCGGAAATGTCTGAAATCGACCCAGCACTAATTACAAGTCATACACTTCTATAGCTTGAATCATGCATTAGCATTACAATGGCCTCTAGCAGTGGAGTTGTATTATGTGTGTAATGACTTAATTAAAATTCAAACACAACCTTATAACATTTCCAACCTTCAGTAAATAAACTGAAAGCAAATAAGCACTGTTCAACCAAGTTCCACAAATAAATTTAAAATACCATATGTTTTATCTAAAGCGCAGATCATGAGAGAAGAATCAATTTTACTCTATTCTATTCTATCTATTATCATTATCATTCAACATTTCTTTAGAATGCAACATTTCATTCCCAGGCTATGTAGACCTACGTGATAAGGGATCAGCGAAACAAAGCATGGGAATCATAACAATTAGATAGGCAGCATGGTTGAATGCTACCAGAATGTTAACTATTAAATCCAGCAAGGCAGTTCCTAATAATGGACTAAGTACTTTATCAGTTTGTCTTTGTTAGAACGTTAATAGTTTTCCTAGTTTTGATTTATATATAGTGTGTATTCTTAAAGAGATGTTATTTAATAATTTCTGCATGGCTTTTACATAGTTAATTGTCACATCAATATTCATCTAAAGGGTAAAGAGTATAACTAAGTAAATTGTAAATATGCCTAAACCTAAAACTGTATATGAACTACATATTCATTAACCGTCAAAGACAGATTTGCATTAGTATTATTAAAGTATACCGTTTTTTGTGAGCTTCTCAATTTGCATATAGCCTATTTATTATTTTATTAAAATTGAAAAAAAATAAATCGGTCAAAATATATTTATTAAAGTATACCGTTTTTTGTGAGCTTCTCAATTTGCATATAGCCTATTTATTATTTTATTAAAATTGAAAAAAAATAAATCGGTCAAAATATATTTATTAGCTTAATGTATAGAACTATTGGAATAAAAAGTGTAGTCTAGGTCTTATGCTTGATCTCTTCCTCTATACATAGACTACATGGTTTCAAAACACACATAATGAGAAAGTTGTATTAGTCGACATTTTAGAATTTTAATTCTGGGGTGAATATCCCTTTTCGGGACCCCCCCAACCCAAAAAGGTGATTTTCGAAGTGATGTATGTGTGTGTGTCAGTTTTGATGTTATTCGGTATGTGGGTTCTAATAAATGATATCTCCAGGAGTTTTTCAATTTTTAAACTTCTATTTTTATTGGGGATTTCTCATAAAACCACTTAAAATAACAAAAACTACAGATTTTCACAAAAACAACACAAACAATTTTGATAAAAATTTAGTATCATAGAATCCTTTTAACCCTAAAAAATTACATAACCCCCATTGGATACAAATTCCGGTACAAAAGCTATTGCGGCTTTAGTGATTTACCCAATATCAGTTACTCCTACTCCCATAACTTGCGGAAAAAGCAGGGTTAAGGGTTTTTGACAAGCTAATGAATTATTTATCAATGAGTTCATGTTCAATCAAGACCTCAAAGATCTCATATGTAATTATGAAAAAGAGGTTAAATTGCAGTATCCAAAGTAGATGGTCCCAACTCTAAGATCGACCTTGATCTCAGCAGTCCTATGGCCATTGTACCCACGATCCTGTGATACTACGGGCAGTGTTCGTTGTTCACAGCAGTACTACCGGCGACACCTCAGGATGCGCTTCTATATTGCATTGTTGACTGTCTTCATTCCCGATCATTTGACAGGTAAAAAACATATGTTTTATAGATTCAGTTAAGGATCAGCTGATGACATTTTGTGTGTTTATGTGCCGTTGTTGAGCGTATTTTGTCCATAATTTATTTCTTGTTTCCGACTTTTAGGTATGTATAACAATTGTTATCCAATAAAATAATATATACTAGAGGTCGTCCAGTGGTTGAATACTCGACCAAAAATATGTACAGACTTCTCTATTTTAACCCCACACTGTAAATAACACATGTTATTTGAATTTAATTCATTTGTTTTGATTATCTGTTTATACTTCGTTGTTATTTCGTCACCATGACAACCCATAAGGCCCATGTTAATTTTTTTCTAATTTAAAATTCATTTGTGTGCTTATTTTTGAGCCTATTTAAAAATAATATATTTCTAACAGTATGCGAGGATTTTCTCTGTGATGCAAACGAGCTGAGAAAAATGGGTTTAAAGAAACATGCTTATAGCCTATTAATATATAGATGTGCACTCAAATCAAAACTAGGGTTATTACCTAAGTAATCTTGACAAAAGTAGTTTAATAAAATAAAAAAATAAAAATTTAAAATTATTAAACAAAATAAATTAAAACTTGAACACTTTCAATGGCAACAGGATGAAGAGCCTAGGAAATAAGCCTACATGGACCTCAATGGTTTGTGTGGACTTGAGTTGTTAACAAATATAAGCATTCATTTTTTTCTATTCCAAGGCATTACAGCACTATGCGTACAGCATTTGAAAAATCAACCTAAAAGAAAAAAGAAGGATTCGTTTGACACCAGTGCATTGAAACGTAACCAGTATTTAACATATAAAAACAGGGAAAATAAATATATATTTTATAAATTATCTGTTGTATATTCTGAAAATCGTTTCTGTTAGAGCCAGACAACTCTGATGATGGTAGTGAAAAATATTCCGAATTATTAAGATATAAATTAACAGTGCATTTATTTTTGTATGTGTAAATTTTAATAGTTTTACTTTAGAAACAAACATGAAACTTTTAAAAATTTTTAGTTTACATAAGTCTTACATAGGCCTACTGTATTGTTAAATTTTACGTTTTTATGAGCGGTTTTTACTGGTGATTTTTTTACGATTACATATACTAGGTATTATTTGTTTTTATTACATAGTGGCATAGTAGGTAGTCTTTAAATGAGTAAACAGTAAGTAAATTATCTTGTTCCGTGTAACCTTGAATTGTATACGGTCTGGCGAATCCATCGAGCTTTTGTTATGTTTAACTGGTAATAAACAATGCAAAGAAACAAAGTAGTGTCTTTTCTAAGAAAATAACTTCTTTGAAATAAAGTAGTAAAATATTATTGGGTTTTTGGGCTATTTGTAACGACCTTTGCTCTATTTTAGTATGAAGCATTCCTGCTTTTGTTTCGCGTTCAGTGCTGTAAAACCAAATCAAGTAAGAATAAATTGCATTTCCAAAATATTTACAGATTAAAACATTAACATAGACCTACACTTTCGTGAAACAAAACACCTAGCTTACAAAATAAAAGAAACGTACATAAAAACTTAAATACATGGTCTTTTTAAAAGAGTCGGGATTTTAAATGGTAATTGCTTGGATACTATTCAATGTAACTAAACGTTTTATACATCAAATTGAAGCTAAAATAACAAAGTTTTGTAATCCGTGTGGCAAGGGAGGAAAATTTGACTTTGGCATGAGTAAAACAGGTGCGGAGTGATAGGCTGTTATTGTGACTCATACGCCTGACGCCAGTCACCCAGTACGACATTTACGGCGCAACAGAAGGCACAGATTGTAATCTGTAGTTCACAGACTTTATATCCATTGCTAAATTAAACTAAATTTAAATCTACTTGATGTTAAAGAAGCTGGTTTAATGAGTTGAGTGGCACCGAAGTGTTTTGAAAAGATTCACCTGGCCGGCTAAAAACAAGCGATGACATAGTCGAAGAAATCCGTCAATTCTGCATCAGATCCCGAAAAATCGATTGCCTGACAAAGTCTTTAGTGTAACAAACCTAAATTGTTCACTTTATGATGTTATCTATAAAATATAGAGTCTTTGGGCCGAAAAGATTCCGTTAAGACACCAGAGAAACCCGCCAATCGCCCTAAACTTACATATTTTACCAGTTTTACGCTCTTAAGATTGATGAAAATCTGAATTTTATTAAATCATTCCGAATCGTATAATCGAATGAGAAAACAACTTTATTCTTTTCCCGTCAATTTGACGTTCAAATGGTTTAATTATCTTGAACAGGCCCCGAGCAAAATCCCGGCATTCTTTTAAAAACACCCTGTACTTTTGAATGATTACAAATTCAACGTTAGAATAGTTAATACTCATGTCGGTACCACCAACCTCATAATTGTATCAAATATATTTCAATTTACTTAAAGAATGGAACCTGTGGACTCTGCGCGGCTTGGCGAAAGGATCAATTTATTTCGCAATGAGAAGACGCTCCTCGCAGGACCTATCCAAAGTTCAAGGAGACCAGGGATCCTTCGTCCTTCCTTAGATAATGTATCTTCATTATCATACTGGTACTGAAGAATAACTCCCGCTTACAGGGTTCTCTAAATGCTAGAATTAATAGCCTGTCGCGGAAGAGTGGCATCGTCGGGAAAGACTTACAATTTAAAGGATAGTTCGGTTTTGAGAAAAGCTAGTATATATGTATGCCTTTGACTTTATTGAAGTATGTTTTATATGGTTTTCCATGGTGTCTTTAATTAATGGCATGTCGTAGTGGCAACTATTATATGTGAACATGTCGTCGGTGCACTGTTGGTTTAAGTGAAAAACGTCAGTTTTTCTTATCAGACGGGGTAACGTAGGCTAGTTCACCTAAATTGTTCACTTGTTAGTTCCTAGATAACCAAGACCCTCTATAACAAATCACTCTTGATAACAAGTGTCATTTTTAAATCCCCTAGGATTTATTTTACCCCTAACCACATGTTATTACAAACTTGATAAGAAGACAACCTTGATAACAAGTCTTATTTTATAATCACCACGAGAGTCTTGTTATCAAGGTTCTACTGTACTTTAATTTGTTAGTACTGGTACATGTGCACGATAAAAAATGTATGTGCAGCTTTAAAACATTGTATCTGGACACAAACTTGTTTCACTCAGTTAACTAATCTTTGGTCATGTTCTCACAGGACAGTTATATCCTCTTGTTTATCAAATGTTTGTTTTCCAGCCATTGCCATTAGGTGTTAGTTGAGAAGTGATACTGATCTGTATTTTGACGATGTTATGTTTTGACACCGGAACATATAGTATCATCGTTTAGATTCCTTTGATACAAAACAACATGTTCTAAAAGAAGTATCTGATCGTATGATTGAGAGTGTCCTTGAGTGTTTATGTAGGCTACATAAACATTGTAGTCTGTATATGTATTGTGTTGCACAAGAGACAAGAGTACAATATGATGTGTCATCGATGTCCAAAGTACCTATGAAGGTAAATTATGTATTCCTACGCTGTTGTTGTGCAACGTTCTTGGAAACCCGAATTTAAATCCCGACCAAAGGAGTAAAATAAGGAGAATTCAACGCACTTATCAAACATATAGGACGTAAAAAACATGTGGACAAATCTACAAGAGAATCTGTTATACTCTAGAATCTAAGATACTTGTCATCATTATTCGTTCTCCTTATAGTCCTTTGTGGATTTCTAACCCTTATGGACCAGCGAAAGACAATTTTTAGGTTAATTTCTTTAATATAATCGTTTTATTGTTCTGATTTTTCAACCAAAGAGAGTAAAGCAGTATTTGTAAAAATGAAATTAAAATAGGAAAGAAACATTTAGTTTACGTCAGCGCACACCGTAGGGCCTACAACCAACATGAAACATGTCACATAGGTACTCAAATTCTGTCAAAATAGTTATTAGTGCCGGTTGCTGAGCTCGGGATTTAGCTAAGTTCTAGACTTAAACCAGCTCACTCTGGAGTTTTTTTTTTGCCATCCCATGGCTGTGGCTTTCCTCTTTATTAAGAGTTGTCTTAAACTGTTAGTGATTACTTTACGGCTCGGATTAAGTAACAGTTAACAGAAGAGCTTTCAAAAATGATGTAAGGATAGAGTGTCCTTGAACGACCCGTTATGACGCAACTCCGGGGGAACATCTCACACGTTACACACACAAACGTGCATATACATACAACTTATCTACACACACACACACAACGTGCATTTACAAACGACACATTTACACATATATCGCGGTGCTGCTATTCCTGCACTTTCCCTTAAGTTTATCGACCAGGACATCGTCACTGAACACCCCGTGAAATTTCGCAGATTTTACAGAGAATACTGAAAACTATAATGATAAAAAAATACCCCCGCCGCAGCAAACCTGCCGACTAAGCGAATTTCCATTTGTCTTAATTGATTTTCAATTAAATATATTTTAATAACATTAGGTTTAACAAGTACCTAGGTTTGCTGCTACAAGGAAACTAATAACATAATCGTGTATTGTAACCAACACAGTAGATAGATCGGTGTGTTTTCTTTAATAATTATATTGAGATTTTTTTACTTAAATAGGAGATCCTACTAGAATGTTTATTACAGTAGCGGTATCGGTACTTAGAATTGTAGATTAGATTAGGATAAGAGCAATATCCTAAGCAATATCCTAGACTACGGCGCGAGGGGAAGCTACACTTCGCCGGGTATTTCAATGGAAAAATCATCATCAAGCCGCGGGAGGATGATGATGCTATCAGAATCCTACATCAGGAAGATTTTGACACTTTTGAAGGCTGATATTTATAGGTATTTATGCGCAGTTTGGACTGATAAGTTTTTTTTTTTTTTTTTTTTTTTTTTATATAGGTAGTTAAGAACTGCATGCAGGAAATCTGAAGCTAAGTGCATATAACCAACATTATTATTTATTTTTTTTACCATAATTATATTTTTAAATCCCAAGCATGTACAACATTCACTAACTTTTTCAAC